CTGAGGTCGTTCTGTACAACAGCACCCAGTCCTTGTATCCCCATCAATGACGAGCGCCAGGTTGGGAAAAAACAAGTACCATCATGACATCTTTTGGTATGCCGCCGCGAGGGATCGAACTTCCGACCTAGCGCTCTCCGGGCTGGCACTTAACCCACTAGACTGCTGATGCGGTCTCCTCTGTAAGTCTTAATAAAGATGAAGATGCTGTAATTAGTGCATTTAGTGAAACAGACATCATCATTGTGTAATTTGGTTAATTCCCAGCTTCTGTATTGATACGTCATTCATTAAATTTGAGGAGTTTTAATGACTTGGTCAAATTACAAGGACTGACAATCCGCCCGAGTCTTGTTCCCCAATCCTCCACACACCCAACGCTGAGAGAATTTTGACATCCTCCGTCCCTCCCGACACACACACATACACGCACACACACACACACACACACACCTTTTTTTCAAAATGCAGCATCCGCCCTTGATCTAACATCAAACTTGTTACTGCACCCCCATGAAAGCCTGTCTCTGTCTCTGTGTTGTGCGTGTGTATTAATCAATATCAACCAGGTGAGTCTGCCTGGGTATAGCCGTTGGTTAGTGATTATCGTGTCGGTCAGAACAACGCCAGGTCCGGGTACGGGGACAGACGCCATTCATCTTACCGTTACTCAGCAGTATTTGAACGACCGTACACATATATTTTCCATGACGTCAATCACTTCTGGGTTTCCTGGAAAAACTCAGGTGTCCGAGACTAGCCAGCCGTTGGCGCTGTGGATATAGTAGTTGCTAGGAGATCTGGCGGCTTGGCCGGGTGAGCTGTCCATGAGGATGTAGAACCAGCTGAGTCATCAATAAACAGCTTGCATCGTCATTCAGTGTGACTTAGGGCTTGTGTTGCGATAAGTATACTTTTAATAGGCACTTTCAACAATATTCCGACAACATTCGTTGTACATACCGTGTCAAGTGTAGCAAACAGACATGAATAATATCCGATATTAGGAAAAGAAGAAACGGGCATAACATCATAAAGAGCTACTCCGACTACCCATGAGTCGACCCAGGCTGGCATGTATCTGATTGTTACCCCACCTAACACACTGGTGTAGGAAGTGGTATGTCTGCTGCACACTGGTATAGGAAGTGGTATGTCTGCTGCACACTGGTGTAGGAAGTGGTATGTCTGCTGCACACTGGTGTAGGAAGTGGTGTGTCTGCTGCACACTGGTATAGGAAGTGGTGTGTCTGCTGCACACTGGTATAGGAAGTGGTGTGTCTGCTGCACACTGGTATAGGAAGTGGTGTGTCTGCTGCACACTGGTATAGGAAGTGGTGTGTCTGCTGCACACTGGTATAGGAAGTGGTATGTCTGCTACACACTGGTATAGGAAGTGGTATGTCTGCTACACACTGGTCTAGGAAGTATGTCTGCTGCACACTGGTATAGGAAGTGGTATGTCTGCTACACACTGGTATAGGAAGTGGTATGTCTGCTACACACTGGTCTAGGAAGTATGTCTGCTGCACACTGGTGTAGGAAGTGGTATGTCTGCTGCACACTGGTATAGGAAGTGGTGTGTCTGCTGCACACTGGTATAGGAAGTGGTATGTCTGCTGCACACTGGTATAGGAAGTGGTATGTCTGCTGCACACTGGTATAGGAAGTGGTATGTCTGCTGCACACTGGTGTAGGAAGTGGTATGTCTGCTGCACACTGGTATAGGAAGTGGTATGTCTGCTGCACACTGGTGTAGGAAGTGGTATGTCTACTGCACACTGGTATAGGAAGTGGTGTGTCTGCTGCACACTGGTATAGGGAGTGGTATGTCTGCTGCACACTGGTATAGGAAGTGGTATGTCTGCTGCACACTGGTATAGGAAGTGGTATGTCTGCTGCACACTGGTATAGGAAGTATGTCTGCTACACACTGGTATAGAAAGTGGTATGTCTGCTGCACACTGGTATAGGAAGTGGTATGTCTGCTACACACTGGTCTAGGAAGTGGTATGTCTGCTGCACACTGGTGTAGGAAGTGGTATGTCTAGTGCACACTGGTATAGGAAGTGGTATGTCTGCTGCACACTGGTATAGGAAGTGGTATGTCTGCTACACACTGGTCTAGGAAGTGGTATGTCTGCTGCACACTGGTATAGAAAGTGGTATGTCTGCTGCACACTGGTATAGGAAGTGGTATGTCTGCTACACACTGGTCTAGGAAGTGGTATGTCTGCTGCACACTGGTATAGAAAGTGGTATGTCTGCTGCACACTGGTATAGGAAGTGGTATGTCTGCTGCACACTGGTATAGAAAGTGGTATGTCTGCTGCACACTGGTCTAGGAAGTGGTATGTCTGCTGCACACTGGTATAGAAAGTGGTATGTCTGCTGCACACTGGTATAGGAAGTGGTATGTCTGCTGCACACTGGTATAGGAAGTATGTCTGCTACACACTGGTATAGAAAGTGGTATGTCTGCTGCACACTGGTGTAGGAAGTGGTGTGTCTGTTGCACACTGGTATAGAAAGTGGTATGTCTGCTACACACTGGTCTAGGAAGTGGTATGTCTGCTGCACACTGGTATAGAAAGTGGTATGTCTGCTACACACTGGTATAGGAAGTGGTATGTCTGCTACACACTGGTATAGGAAGCGGTACGTCTGCTGCACACTGGTATAGGAAGTGGTATGTCTGCTGCACACTGGTATAGGAAGTGGTATGTCTGCTGCACACTGGTATAGGAAGTGGTATGTCTGCTGCACACTGGTATAGGAAGTGGTATGTCTGCTGCACACTGGTATAGGAAGTGGTATGTCTGCTGCACACTGGTATAGGAAGTGGTATGTCTGCTACACACTGGTCTAGGAAGTGGTATGTCTGCTGCACACTGGTATAGAAAGTGGTATGTCTGCTGCACACTGGTATAGGAAGTGGTATGTCTGCTGCACACTGGTATAGGAAGTGGTATGTCTGCTACACACTGGTATAGGAAGTGGTATGTCTGCTGCACACTGGTATAGGAAGTGGTATGTCTGCTGCACACTGGTATAGGAAGTGGTATGTCTGCTGCACACTGGTGTAGGAAGTGGTATGTCTAGTGCACACTGGTATAGGGAGTAGTATGTCTGCTGCACACTGGTATAGGGAGTAGTATGTCTGCTGCACACTGGTATAGGAAGTGGTATGTCTGCTGCACACTGGTATAGGAAGTGGTATGTCTGCTGCACACTGGTATAGGAAGTGGTATGTCTGCTGCACACTGGTATAGGAAGTGGTATGTCTACTGCACACTGGTATAGGAAGTGGTGTGTCTGTTGCACACTGGTATAGGAAGTGGTATGTCTGCTGCACACTGGTATAGGAAGTGGTATGTCTAGTGCACACTGGTATTGGAAGTGGTATGTCCGCTGCACACTGGTATAGGAAGTATGTCTGCTGCACACTGGTATAGGAAGTGGTATGTCTGCTGCACACTGGTATTGGAAGTTGTATGTCCGCTGCACACTGGTATAGGAAGTATGTCTGCTGCACACTGGTATAGGAAGTGGTATGTCTAGTGCACACTGGTATTGGAAGTGGTATGTCCGCTGCACACTGGTATAGGAAGTATGTCTGCTGCACACTGGTATAGGAAGTGGTATGTCTACTGCACACTGGTATAGGAAGTATGTCTGCTGCACACTGGTATAGGAAGTGGTATGTCTACTGCACACTGGTATAGGAAGTATGTCTGCTGCACACTGGTATAGGAAGTGGTATGTCTGCTGCACACTGGTATAGGAAGTGGTATGTCTACTGCACACTGGTATAGGAAGTGGTATGTCTGCTACACACTGGTATAGGAAGTATGTCTGCTGCACACTGGTATAGGAAGTGGTATGTCTGCTGCACACTGGTATAGGAAGTGGTATGTCTGCTGCACACTGGTATAGGAAGTGGTATGTCTGCTACACACTGGTATAGGAAGTATGTCTGCTGCACACTGGTATAGGAAGTGGTATGTCTGCTACACACTGGTATAGGAAGTGGTATGTCTGCTGCACACTGGTATAGGAAGTATGTCTGCTGCACACTGGTATAGAAAGTCGTATGTCTGCTGCACACTGGTATAGGAAGTATGTCCGCTGCACACTGGTATAGGAAGTGGTATGTCTGCTACACACTGGTCTAGGAAGTGGTATGTCTGCTGCACACTGGTATAGGGAGTGGTATGTCTACTGCACACTGGTATAGGAAGTGGTATGTCTGCTGCACACTGGTATAGGAAGTGGTATGTCTACTGCACACTGGTATAGGAAGTGGTATGTCTGCTGCACACTGGTATAGGAAGTAGTATGTCTGCTGCACACTGGTATAGGAAGTAGTATGTCTGCTACACACTGGTATAGGGAGTGGTATGTCTGCTGCACACTGGTATAGGAAGTGGCATGTCTGCTACACACTGGTATAGAAAGTGAGACTTATATAAAGTGGTATGGATTATACACACCGTTATAGAAAACGGTATGGTTAATACAGTTATGGATGGTAAGGCTGGTAGGCAGTTGTATTAAGTGATATGGCTGATACACACTGGTATGGAAAGTGATGATACTGGTATATGAAGTGGTATTGATGATACTGGTATATGAAGTGGTATTGATGATACAGTTATATGAAGTGGTATTGATTATACTAGTATATGAAGTGATATTGATGATACTGGTATATGAATTGGTGTGGATGATACTGGTATATGAATTGGTGTGGATGATACACACAGTTTCATTTGAAGTGATGTTACGGTATATGAAGTGGTATATGGATGATATTGTTATATAAAGTGGTGTGGATGATGCACGTTATACCAGGATCACGAAAAACAACTAATACGGGTTAGCGTAGTTCAGTTGTTTACTCGAGCTCGTTTGCTCACCTGACGCGGTTGTTTGACCCTCAGTTGGTAAGAATCCTATTCAGTATACCCCGTAGTCATACGTCTACATTCATATCAGTGGCGTGTTTCAATCGCCCTGTCAAACCTCCAGTCGACCGGTCTAATCTAGGCCACTACACAAGGAAGTGTATCCGGGTGTGCGGGTAGAACTATGTGGACACTCACGAGTGTCATGTAGAGGGGAAGGTCCGGGTAAGTCTCCTTTCCTTTACAATAATGCAGCCGAGTCCCATTATTTTTAAGGAATGGGGAGTTACGAGGATATCTCCTACGTGAAACACACCCTAGTTTTACACTTCGTCTAAACATCCTATTCATATGTATTGTGCATTGTGGAAGGTATTTACAAAATTAACCATAACGCTTTGTAGCCTTTATTAATGATCCAAGCTGATATTCACAATGCATGGGGTACTAAACGAGTATTTTATCAATCTATTGCACATGATAAATACATGCTGACTGGGACTTTTGGAAAGATAGAGCCCTGAACAAGGATGTATATGTTTATCAAAAAAAAAATTATATTACCTTGTCATATAAATTAATTGAAAAGTTGAAATGTTTGGTACAAGATCGTGAATAAATGACTTCCAACTACTCATTTTTTCCGAGGTTAATGCGACGTGTGTGTGTGTGTGTGTGTGTGTGTGTGTGTGTGTGTGTGTGTGTGTGTGTGTGTGTGTGTGTGTGTGTGTGTGTGTGTGTGTGTGTGTGTGAGTGTGTGTGTGTGTGAGTGAGAGCTGGGGGGGGGGGGGGGGGCTGAGTGTGTGTGTGTGTGTGCGCGTATGTGTGTGGCTGCTTGTACTCGTCTAGCTTAATGCCGAATATATAGTGCTAAGCCACTGAGATACCATGCCGCAGTTTGACATGAATACCCCACTCAGACACAGTATACTCATTCCCAGCCGACATGTCCTTGTTTCAGCTCCTTAATGCCGAGCGCCAGACAGGGTAACAACAAGTACCATTTTAAGGTCTTTTGGTATGACTCGAGTGACCGGGAATCGAACCCCGACCTCCCGCTTTCCTTGCGGACGCTCTACCACTAGACAACGGAGGCAGTCGCATATTGTGTAGAGTGAAGGAGATTACGTGTACATTAGATAGGGTATAGAGTTTGTTGTTTAACGCCGCACTCAGCAAATTCGAGCTGTTTGACGGTGGTCTGTAAATAATCGAGTCTTGACCAAAAAATCCAGTGATTGACATCATGAGCGATCTACGTAAATATGATACGATGACATGCATCACCAAGCCTGACCACCCGATGCCGTTAGTCGCCTCTTACGACAAGCATAGTCGCCTTTTACAACGACAAGTATAGTCGCCTTATACAGCAAGCATGGGTTGCTGAAGACCTATTCTATATTCTATTCTACTCATATCAACAAAATGGCATATTTATTTCAACACAGGTATAAACAAAATGAAAACATGAATAAAATATTTACGTATTCATTTATACAAGCACAGATTCACATGACTGTACTATCAACATTGATCTTTGGGATGGGTGAACGTATAAAGCCCGGGGTATTGTATTTCATTCAGCGTCTGCCTTCGTGACGGCCGATGACACAGCCGAGTGGCAGTCACATCCGAGTACTGAACGTACCACGTGTCTTGTATTCAGGTTAGATCCGGCAAGAAGCCAACCGTGACCGGTTCAATGTTCGTCACATGCTGTACTTCATTACACTGTTAGCGCCAGTCAAGCAAGACTCTCGGATGTTTCTGGAGCGTCGCCATATACGTCACGACAAACAACACTCTGAAAGCGAAACTATTCCTATAAAACCTCTGTTTACTGTAAATAAAGGCGAAAAAGGTCATGTTGTAGAATAGAAGAGATTATCAAAGCTTTGAATCAATCTATTCAACGTATTCTAAAACTATTTGTCTTAACATAACGCCATAGTATATAAGCATGTATGATCTACATTATGTCGACATGTATTATGGGCTGGAGGCCTGATTACTGAATAAATCTGTCTGTCTGTCTGTCTGAATCAATCTTTTTGTAGTTTCATTTGGAACGACAAAATCAACAAAAGTGAATGAACAAATCAGATAAAAACACAAGAGGAGAGTGGACTAAGAACTATACTCCTAAAAGCATTCGCAGTTGCGCTAACCACATACATTTATTTATGTAATAATCTGAGCCGGTATTAACGAATATGGATTATGACAGTTGAAAACTGATGTTATTACCGTGAGGTGGAAATATTTGAAATTACATAAAAATATATTAAAGGATGTGAACAATATCACCTTTAAGTCATCGACCCCTTAATCAGTTCTATATAATAAAACACCGGCAGAATAGTGACACAATCCAGATTACAGATATTTATGTTCACGTGAATGTCCTCTATATTCTCGGGATTGAGGATGAATACCGTTTTATCTTAACATGTGATTATTTTAATGCAATAGGAGATGTGTATATCTGCATCTATATTTGACTGTATGGTCAAAATCCAAATATGTATACATGCTTCTATTTTCGAACTGTGTAATATTGCTTAAAAACTACAAATACATGTTAAAGTAATGAAACAAGACAAAACAAATCTAAGTACTTTAACAGATGTCACATTATGATGTATCACTCATATACCATGTGTTATATACAGTAAACTACGGTTATAACGAACTCAAAGGGACCACTAATTTTAGTTCGTTATAAGCATATATACAACATAACTACAGCAAATGTTAGGGACAAAAAAGTAAGTTCGTTATATCCGTCAGTTCGTTATAAGCGTGTTCGTTATAACCGTACTTTACTGTATTCCCAATCGCTGTATTCGGATAAAAGATTTACATGTGTGTGAGACTATTGGGCCTATGTCTTTTCAAGAGTTTATATAGTATCCGAGGTAGATGTTTGTGCTGTACCGGATACTCCTGCAATTGACAACACAAGTCCATCTGTATCCACAACATATATTCTGTGAAGTCATGCAGCTACATCATTATCATGATGATGGTTTCCAGTAAACATCTCCCTGGCCTAGGTCGACCATCCTCTCGCTGCCGTCCCTGAGTCCACTCTCGACTAATACAAGGCATTGTCAATTTATCTCTAAGGGGCGAGTCACGGTGAGACTGCCACGTGTCAAAGGTTCAAAGGTTTTTATTCTCTTAAAACCACACACGATGATACAAGAGTACAAGAACATGAAATATATCATACATAAATGTTATCATGAACAAAATATTTTGTTTTATAAATACATATCAGGATGGCGAGATGCTGACCTCATATATAAATGGAAACATATATATCCCCCGTTAAAACCTATACCCCGACAAAGTGCCTACGGTCATATTCAACGTCCATGTTACAAACCAAGACTACCGCCGAGTAATTGCTAATTTACATAGAGTTGGATTAATGATTAATAGTACTGATTGCAATACAAATACATAAAAGTACACGAATTATAGGATTATATCGGCGAAATAAATATTATTGAAATATTAGGCCGACTTTGTTTAGTACTGAAGTCAAAATTAACCTTGACCCGTTTAATACTGAAATCAAGGCTAATTTGGTGTTACATTTTTAGTACTTGAGTTAAGATTAACCTGGACCTGTTCAGTACTGTTGTCAGCACTAACCCGTCTTTGTTTAGTACTGCTGCCAACGCTAACCTGGACCTGTTCAGTACTGTTGTCAGCACTAACCCGTCTTTGTTTAGTACTGCTGCCAACGCTAACCTGGACCTGTTCAGTACTGTTGTCAGCACTAACCCGTCTTTGTTTAGTACTGCTGCCAACGCTAACCTGGACCTGTTCAGTACTGTTGTCAGCACTAACCCGTCTTTGTTTAGTACTGCTGCCAACGCAAACCTGGACCTGTTCAGTACTGTTGTCAGCACTAACCCGTCTTTGTTTAGTACTGCTGCCAACGCTAACCTGGACCTGTTTAGTACTTAAGTCAAGACTAATTTAGCCTTGCTTTGTACCTGTGACATAAAAGTATCTTAAAGTATGTAAAGTACATAAAAAGCATGGTTCAGAGGATGTGGCCCTGTGATACACCACGCTGAGAGTCATTAGGTAATACACGACACAGCTGCAACATCACGCCCCACACGCGTAGTCGTCTCACTGTCGACGTGTCTTGTAGTTCCTGCACGTCCAGGTAACACAAAGAACTCCTGACGTCAAATGCATGCTGTCCCGTCACGCACGTACGTGTCAATACAATACTTATAGCACTTATGATTGTATCACATGCCCGTATTTCCTGGCGACTTGAACTCCATAAATACCACACTTCTCGTTTAAAACTCTGTGCAGCCCAAGAAAAATATAAACGTCCATGCATTTCTGCACTCGCCTGGTCACGTGATATGAAGATGTGTAACAGTTTCGGTATAAGGCCTATTTGGTTTTGTTTGTTGTTTAACGCCGCATTCATGCAGGGGACAATTCTAGGCCAGATTCCCCAAGGTGCAGAGGTCTGAGTGAGTGAGTGAGTGAGTGAGTTGGGTTTAACGCCGCTTTGAACAGTATTTAAGTTATATCACTGCGTGTCAGCTTAATGTGGGAGGAAAGCCCGAAGTGAGGCAGATCTCAGACATTTACCACTTCGGTGAAACCTTAGAGCACAGGTATAGTGCTGACAAACCTAGAAACATAATCGGAACGAACCAGCATTCGAACCTACGATGATAGGTTTCTGCCGTGCCCAAGGGACGCAACACTGAACTGCGAATTGCGGCGCCTTAGACGACCCTGTGCCCCTATCTCTCTCTGAAACGACACCAGCTATACTTAGTATGTTTATATGATGTAAAGGAAAACAAAATATGTAAGGTGAAGTCAATCAACATCTTAGATCAAATAAGTTTATTCTATATTCCGTGGCCGAAATAGAGACGTTAACAAAAACAAAAACAATACCGCAATATCAGAATCAAGGACATTTATAAGTGATTCAGATGTTTGCGTATATCACAAGATTCACATATTTTACACGCAAGATCATCATCGATATCATCGTTAGCTCAATGCTATTTTTCTGTGTGAACACCAATTGTCATTGTAATTATATGTAAGCGCAGGTGTATATGTGCGTGCGTGCGTGCGTGCGATTGTTACGAATCAGTATTGGTTCAATGGAGTCAGACCCGACCTAGATTACATACATGGACCTACACTCCAATCTGATTCATGCTTCTATGAACGGTAGGCTCGCCGAAACACCCAGTTGAGGTCAGCCTGCCCGCGCTTGTGCATGTGAACAGGGGTAGATATTATCAGCGCATGAGAATGTTCCGCTGTCGGATAACAACAGTGTTGGGTCACCTTGCCAGGCCAGTCAAGGTAACGAGTGTTGTCCACGAAGCTTTTGCTGTCAATCCGGATTCCCCCTTTTTGAAATTGATAGGGGAGGATTTGATATTTTGGACCCTCCCTTTTAAACATGCTGGATATGCCCTTGCACAGTATATTGTCAGAACCAGTAAGACTGATTGCATTCATAGCTCGACCTACTTTGAGAATCTAATAGGTTTCTCATTAATAACGGACATTAGTGGCAAGCCCGCGCATGTTTTAACGACACCCGTGAAACATGCTTCTTGATAGGATTTATTATCAGCGCTCTTGAGACTGCAAAACCTAGACCGCGAACACTTAACGCGCGTCACATATTCGGACAGTACTTTTAGCTTACATAAGGTTACATAGACACTTTTAGATGCATGTGGGTATTCTTTCTTTTGTAAAAAGTGGATGAATAATACTATCTGGGCAAATTACGGGACAGATATTTAGGGCTCTACAGGGTACATAGCCCACGGTATATATCATAACAAAATATAATATTACCTGGATAGTACACGTGAACTTCAGGAATACAAACTTATGATTTAAGTCATGATTTTTATGTGTGTGGGTTTTTTAAGTAAACATTTTTCTACACTGTTCTTTCAACAACTAAACTCCCTTCTCATATTATTGTTTTAAACTGAAGGCACCCGTAGAGATTCCGATAATGGATATAGGTCCCCAACAATCTATGCTTGTCGTAAACGGATCAGGTGATCAGGTTTTGTGACTTACTTGATGATATGTCATCACACCTCAATGGCGTCGACCGATGCTCATGATGTCACTCACTAGGTTGTCAGGTCTAGACTCGATTATTGACAGACCATCACCATGTAGTCTGGGCTGTAGGGTGGGTGATTTCACTGTTCGAACCCAGACTTAGCCCCCAGTGACTATTTCCAGTTCCGGCAAATGAAATCTGTCCTACGTGGAAGACGCTTCCAGGATGACGAGGACATAAAGGCTGCCACAGAGGCGTGGTTAGAGGGCCAATCTGTGTATTTCTATAAAAGTGGTATTAAAAGCTTGAAGGACAAATGGAATAAGTGTACTGAGGCGAATGGAGATTATATTGAAAAATAAAAGTGCAAAAGTTATTCTGCGACTTGGTCTTATATTGAAGTTGCAAAACTTATTGAACGCCCCTCGTATGTTTCATAGAGCACATGAAACTCGCCATGGTACATAGGGCCCTTATTTATTCTGTTCATAGAAAGTAGGGGTGCGCACTTTGTCCTGCGAAACTGGTGTACACTAGTATATTATATACTATTCAGTAAAAGATCACGGTTCGTGTCACTGACATCCAGGGCTAAGTTGGTTGGTTTGGTTGGTTTGTTGTTCTACGCCGTACTCAGCAATATTCCAGCTATATGACGGCGGTCTGTAAATAATCGAGTCTGGACCAGACAATCCAGTGATTAATATCACGAGCATAGATCCACGCAATTGGGATCGATGACAAGCATCAACCAAGTCAGCGAGCCTGACCACCCGATCCCGTTAGTCGCCTTTTACGACAAGCATAGTTACCTTTTACGACAAGCATAGTCACCTTTCACGACAAGTCTAGTCACCGTTTACGGCAAGGATGTGTTGCTGAAGACCTATTCTACCCCGGATCTTCAAGGGTCTCCAGGGCTAAGTATGGCGTGGGGTACTGATCATGAGGCAGTTTCGGCAAGACTACAACACATTTCAAAAGACGTTTTACAGTGTAGAAATCTAGTAACAGATAGTGACATCAGCTTCTATGTGGTAGTCCCCGATGTCATTGTCTCGCTGGGCAAAGGCGGATCCTCCTCAGACAGTCATGACTGTCAATGTCTGGGTATTGTTCATTCTGTGTGCACGGGAATTGTAGCGTAAAGGGGGGTGGGGTGGGGTGGGCTTGGGGTGGAGGTGTTTAGACAATTTGGCAGTTCAATTAAGTTTGATCAGGGCGTTAAAAAACTACTATGTCCTCGTTCAATGCTCTTCACTAGTTTAATTTTTGTGTCACCAGTTTAATTCACGTCATGCATACATGTTAATCAGTGCTTGTTGTGGTAATTTATTATAGGGATAGTTGGGTGAGATTAAGGGGGGGGGGGGGGGGGGGGGATGTTGTTAATGAAAAACTGACGCAACGAAAGGGGAAAGGCTTGAATAATTAAATGTACCACGTAATGGAGAGGGGGAAGTGTGTCTCTAACTGAATAGTCTAGACCGATCTTGAATTTGGGCATAGCAAAAACGTTGACGTCTACCACGACTGTGGTGTTAGTTGACCGATGATCATAATCGGTGCACAGCTAATTAATCTAATTGTGGGACTTTTGACCACCCAACTTCAAGATTAAACAATATATAACTTCCCCTAGCCCAGCAAGAGAGTGAATGCTGATTTACGCCGCACCGAGCGAGGGGCGGAATATAGCCTGTGATATTCCAGGTCATGTTACGTAATATCGAGTCTGAACCTGACAACCAGCGCATGAAAGTGCGAGAAGATAGGCTGTGTGCCTCTCAGACCTGGCAGCTGGGTGTAGGTACACTGCGAGACGTCCTGGGTCTAGACGTGTCCATACATCACTGACGATTAATAGCAACGAATCTCTACTGTGTTTCAACAGGTAGATCAGATCATGTGTAGATTGCATTCACATGTGTCATGGTATGTCGTTAAGGGATGTCTAAATGTATAACGTTTACCTTCACTGGAGGTGTGACATGTAAAATGTGAACATTTAACTTCAATATTTGTTGGGGTGGGTGGGGGTGGGGGGTCGGGTGGTGGTGGTGGGGGTGGAGATGGCGATGGTACAGATATATTCAGACTACGCTTCGATAAAACGAAGGTATACAGTTGTGTGCTTATCATTGAAGTCCAATATGTAATTTCACAAAGACGTTATCTAATTAATAGTGAACTGTCAATAAGTGCGAAGCTTTGTAAATGTTTTATATGTAAAAAAATACAACCAACAATCCACTCAAAGATCACACAAAGATCTACATCTTCTGATTTCATTCTTAAAAAATGCACATCTTACAAATGTGTTTCTTGTCAAACAATAAATAATATATCATTAAAGTAAAGAGTATATCCGGTAACTGTAAGCACTCATACCGCCATGTCACGTTTGTATTCCACATAACTTAACTACCGGTGTCTGTCGGCCCGTGGGAGGTCTCACATCAATAAGTACTACTATGACTTATACGTGTGTTATTTGGAGTTGAAGATTTCCTAGAAATACAACTTCCTGCTTGCAGCGATATTTTTATCCAATCAATGAATGCTCCCGGGACTATATAACGCAGGGGGTGAACGGAACAGCCACAATTGTACTATTCGTAGTAGCGTGTTCTCTAGATCTACCTGTTCATATTTCAAGGTAAGCAAAACATATTGATAGCTTGATGCTCTTACTGGCTGACACATGTGTGAAGATAATTTTTAAACATAAATACTGTTATATCAGATATATTCGCCAGATATATTCGTAGACATTAATGACTGTTCTTTCTACAGATCATATGATCTGATGACGCGAGGCAATATTTCAATTTGACCCGCATTCTTCGGGTGCCGTAAGACGGCGTTGCCAAGACTTGCAGATTTATACATTGTACCTTTTATGGTCACTTTACTTCAAAGTTTCTTAGCCTCGTGTTCCGGCACACGGTGTACAAATTTGTGACACGGCCTCTCACGACCTAGATGTTCGAGTGTGTGAGGCTCTGTACCGGTGACCCGTACCCTAGTTTCAAAGTTATAAATTAATGTCACGTTAATAATTATCAATCTATGTTTAATCCTAAGTATAAATGTGATACAAAGCACCAGAAGCAGAATAGATCTTAGTAGCTACTCATTGATCACAGATATGTAACGATGAAGCTACAGACTAACAGATAGTCTAGACAATTGTGCATTGTATACATTTCGAATGCTGATTTTATAAGGATTTCAGCTGAGTAGACTATTATATAATCTAGATTGATGTTGATGAAATTAAATGCAGATATTCCGCGGACATAGTGCTGATCACGTCGTCTTGTGGTCGGTGTATTAAACAGATTATGTGAAACCTATGTTCCAATGAGAGAACTTCGCGCTCATGCATTTGTATATTCCATAATCTAGCTTAGTGTTGAAAAGTGCTACAGCCATACCATTAATTTCATTTTGGGGAATAGGATCATGATGATCCAGGTGATACACCTGAAGTATTGAGGGGGTGAAAATCGCCAGGAACATAGGGTAAAAAGAATACTTAAAATAACTGTTTTTTATGTTGTAGGATTCGATATGTTGCACGTGTAGCATTATGACCAAGCACTGATCTCTAACCGCAGAATAAGTAAATATCAAATAAATTGATTTGATAATGAAATAGGACAACGACATCATGTAACGATGTCATGTGACTTCAAAACTTCATTGGTTCAACTCCACACTCTCACACATATGCCTAGCTGAAGGCGCTGCAATTCGCTGTTCAGAGTTGCGTCCCTTAGTCGTTCAAGGATCCTTTGGTCTTGGGTTCGAGTCCAAGAAAAGCCTGAATTTGGATCTCAGGTCGGTCACTGTCTTCACTATGCACCTCCCCATTACGCAATACTATTGAAATCGGCGTTAAACAAAACTAGCTGTCTCTCAATCTGACAAGGTAGAAAATACATAAAACGATTAAATATGATGAAATGACATCGTCAAAGTCGAAGACAAACAGGAAAACGTATCAAAAACCAAATTATCGATACATGTCAAGATGAGAGAGAATTCAAAGTTTTGCTACACTATTTTGCTACAAACGCGTTTAACAGTGACCACCTCGCCGCCATGACAGGTGAAATATAGGTGTCAACTAAGATGTCGGAGTAAGATTTCAGCATATCGTCGGCATAAGTTATTTCAGCTTTGTCATGCGGAGGCCGTGATGAGTGCCCCCAGACATTGCTCTGTGTACTTTCATAGTGAAACTTAAGCCTTCAGCATGAGTCAGGTGAAACCACAAACGTCAGAATGCGAGGAATTCATCGCCCATGTCTTTGTCGTCATAAGCGTGTCTCTTCGTACCTGTAAACTGATAATCCGCCCGCAGGAACTACACAGAAGGAAGCGACGAATACATCAAGGTAAATACTTCCACGACGAGGAGGAAATACCGGCACTTTGATCGTGCGAGAAGCAAAATGGCCGGGGTTTGAACGTGCTGTTAATGAGTTGACCAGCGCATGCCGTCATGTTCACTACAGTCACGTGGTATTTGAACGTCGCTGAAGCGAGGCCTTCCAGTCACGTGGTCTCGATTAGTCGCGTTCTTGGAAAATAATTAGGTTTAGTTTATAGACGCCTGTGTCTTAAGGAACAAGTCATATACCTTAGAGATTTGTATGGGAAATCTTAATTCTTGCAAGGTAGGTATCATACAATACATTAGCACGTACTGTTGTGTATGCCTATATGATGTAATCTATTTTTTTAAATACATTGCTGCCTTGTTAAACATATTTACGGTGGGGGATATTCTTCTGCTATTAAGCAAATGTAAAGGAATCAGTAGAGTGGTCCATGAACTTAGGCAGTAGTATAGTAAGTACACGTTGAGGTTGATGCTTGGCTTAATTCATCATTGGCTATATTTATAAGTGGTATATATTTCAGCCTTGTAATATATTATGAATACTGGATATTTATCTTATCTTGACGTGACAAAATTGATATTTGCATGAGTGGCGCAGCCAGAGAACATTTGATTTTATAGGATAAACATGTTAATTAAATAGACAAATTTATATATAATGTTTTCTTTCTTACTGATCTTCAAGATCTTACCCTGAAACGTATAGTGTCATTGATGCAGACTGAACGTTGTTGTGGAATTAAGTGTTGTTTGACTGAAATATCATTGCATTCTTTTTTATATACACACTATCTCAAACTGTATCTGATACCTCGGTAGTGTTACACCTTATTGGAAGCTGCATATGTTTGTTTTTTAAAAGACCCAAGTATTCAAGACTGGTCACATTTTGGTTACGTTGTCGTATAAGGCGACTAACGGGATCGGATGGTCATGCTCGCTGACTTGGTTGGTGCATGTCATCGTATCCCAATTGCGGGGATCGATGCTCATGACATCAATCACTGGATTATCTGGTCCAGACTCGATTATTTACAGACCGGCGTCATATAGCTGAAATATTGCTTAGTGCGGTGTTAAACAACAAACAAACAAACAAACATTAGAGCGAGACTTATCTTTCAACCTACACCCATAGAATTGTTTATGTATACCAGTGTAAGACAAAAAGATTTGAACAAATAACTTTGACGTTCATACTGAAGTCCGCTGACTCTCCGATACGTGTAAGTCAATAGAAAATAGAACAACCGGTGACACGAACATGTCGTCTCCTCGTGTAACTTATATAATTGTTGATGGGTAGGTCAGGCGAGTTGGTGGTGCGTTCGCCAGTCTAACATAATGCGGTCTCGTCTTGACTACTCGCATGTGACGCGCAGCCTTTTGGCCTGAATATGACTTTCTCAACCTCTGAGCTCAAGTCGGTTCAGTTGTGAACAGACTATTATTAATCACTGGATTGTATGTTCCAGACTCGATTATTTACAGACCGACATCATATAGCTGGAATATTGCCGAGTGCAGCGTTAAACAACAAACAAACAAAAAAGACAACGCGATTCAACTACCCGATCCTGACTACCCGGTCCCAGAGACCATATATTATATGGTCTCTGCCGGTCCTCATACGTCGACTCCTACGACAAACATAGGTTATACTGCATGGGTGCCTATTCTTCCCTTGAATCCCAACGAGTCGGTCAAGATGTGTGTGAGTTATAGAGATTTGAATGCTGTAGTTATCTGTTGCTGTTTCAGAAAGGGTCAAAGACAATGGCAGCTCCAGCCGTCCGTCCCGAGAATGTCAAAATCACAATAGAGGGGAAAGAAGCCCTGCCCGCCGTGTTCTGCAAGAACAGCCAGTCCAAGATGGGCATCGTTGTTCTGCAGGAATGGTGGGGGTTGAACCAACAGATCCAAGACGAGGCTGCCGAGATATCCAAAGACGGTGGCTTCTCCACGATCGTTCCCGATCTTTACCGAGGCAAGTTGGCGACCGACAACGAAGAAGCAAACCACCTCATGGGCGACTTGGACTGGCCCGGCGCTATTGCAGACATCAAAGCGTGCGCCAAGTACCTGCTGTCTAATGGCTGCGCCAAAGTTGGGGTGACTGGATTCTGTATGGGAGGAGCTCTCAGCATGGCATCTGCAGGTCTGATCCCCGAGGTCACGGCGGCAGCTCCATTCTACGGCATCTGTGGAGACGGCTTGTGCGAGCCTTCCAAAATCACCAAACCTCTCCAATGCCATTTCGGTGCTAATGATGCAGTTGCCGGATTCTCTTGTCCGGAATCCCAGGAGAAGCTCAAGAAGAAGCTGGATGAGGGCAAGGTGCCGTATGAATTCTACAGCTACGATGCCGGTCACGCCTTCACCAACAAAACAGGCCCGAACTTCAACGAGGAGGCATGCAGCACATCCCTTAGAAGAATGTACGAATTTTTCAGGAAGCAGTTGAGCTAGACTCAATGAAACAGCTGTCTGTGGTAATCGACGCTGATTCTGGGACTAGAATCTCTTGTATGGGTTATGATTGACTCCGCTGTGGCGTCACATGGTCATGTTCAACCAGGGCTTAAATCAGCATATCTCCCACTTCCTTCAATGGCATTTCATCTTGAGTGTTATGACACATACACATATTTATTGGTTGATAAATAACACGTACGTGTATACTCGGTGAATCAGATTTAGGATGAAAGAAATGTCATCACAATGTTGTTGGCAGTTTATAAATTTTCCGTTGTTGTTGTATTATGACTTTGATTCTGAATATTTGCGGCTTCTATGGCTTCTGTATGTGTACAGGTGGCAATAAAACTACACTCGATATACTCAGATGTTGACCTTCTTGTTTCATTTCAAGACTACTGTCTGCAGTCGGGGATAGACAATCGGAACTGTCCCTCGCCTATCGGTTAAGTTTCGACTATCTCGTTTTGGGTGAAGGGATGAACCTGAAGAAGCCAGGCATCATTGTGGGACCATGGCGACACAACTTGAGGGGTTTGATATGATGTATAACAACACCATTGGATTCAGACACATTGATATGATGTATACCAACAGCATGGGATTCAGACACATTGATATGATGTGTAACAACACCATAGGATTCAGACACATTGATATGATATATAACAACACCATAGGACTCAGACACAGTGATATGATGTGTAACAACATCATGGTATCCACTCACTCACCGATCCTACCATCCACCCATTCGCTCACTCACTCACTCACTCACTCACTCACGCACTCTCTCAAAACCCATCCATCCCGCTCCTATCCAATGCTGCCGCATTTAGATTGTATGCGTTCTAATACCAAAATACACATCGCTTGCAGGCACGCACGTAATGAGCTACTAATATGATATACGAGTATATAACTTATTCGCGCCCATTGACGGAGTTCTTTTCTGTATCCTGTGTCATGGATCGTTCATCTACGTCATGCCCCGACCGCCAGGATAGTTGAATTCCTGACCCCATTTCGTCTCCAACCGTTGCGAGGTGGGGTACTGTAAAAGTACTATAAAACCGACTACCTACACAGAAAAGTGCACTTTAAAATGTTCACTATATACTTAAAATTATAAATCTTAACTCTATCTTGGTGATTTCTAAGAACCGAGTAAAAATATTGCGAAATTGTTAGACATAACATGTTCTTTAGCGGACACTGTTCTTTTTAATACTATAAATTATATGATTGTATCGTATGCGAATGTATACACCAACATACTGCGGGCATACTCGAACGATTGTATGTGCGCTTCACACAAAGGCGTACACTGATGACCGTCGCAGATGTTTATGTTGTTCTGCTGTATGCCCCTAGCACATTTGTCACTCAACAGCAGAATCCACAACTCGTCTGAAGAGAGCCCAATAGTATCTACAATTTCACCTGGTAAGGAATAGTCTTCTTCTACTGTAAGATAGTCTATCACAACCATGTATCAGCGAGGACTAGGGTATACAATGCTGGGGACCATTCAACGTGCATGTTGAGTGAGTGAGTGAGTGAGTATGGTTTTACGCCGCTTTTAGCAATATTCCAGCAATATCACGGCGGGGGACACCAGAAATGGGCTTCACACATTGTACCCATGTCGGGAATCGAACCCGGGTCTTCGGCGTGACGAGCGAACGCTTTAACCACCAGGCTACCCGACCGCCCCCGTGCATGTTGAATAAACAACGATTGATCTATCGAATATACTACCACTGACAACAAAGGTTCTCGACAAAACCCAATTCACAGCCACAATAAATCTCTTTTAAAAGCAGAGTCCATTGTACGATTCCGACTGTATCATCAGCATGTGTTTATGAATCACTATCAAACATTATACCAGATCTTCGTGTCAAGGTAAGCCACTGTTGGCAACGATGACAAACACATGTGAAAAAGTCGGGAACATATAGTACAAGTCAAAATTGGGAATTGCATCGGACATCATTTATGTCACTGATGCGTAAATTTTGAAATGTCCTCGACATGTCTAACATAACACTTTTTGAAAACTTTACTTGGCCCTAAAATGGTGTAAACTTGATCAAACAATTTTTAAGCTAGAATCGTATTACGCTCGTTGAAATCTTCGTAGAATGAGCATGGTTAATTGAACCTTAAGTTAATGCAAACTATTTACATATTCAACACAATATTATTCCCTACAAGTGTTGGTGGTCGTGTCTTGTTCTCATTAGCCGCAGTCCTCTCATACACCGTCATAGTCGTCCTACTGAAACATACCAAGGGTATTTAGTAGCCGCTCATTTCAGCTTCTATAATGTAACTGGGTCAAATGTGGATTTATTCAATCGCTCATGTATACTTTAATGTTGTTTATACTACTGAAAAGAAGTTAAGGACTACCAGATTATTTCATATTAGAATCGGATGGTTCTTAACATGTTTAGAGTAGTATATATGCCCGCCGCCAAAAGAAACGCAAACCATAGAAACATATAGAGATATATGTAAGTTAAGAAGATGTGTTTTCAATGTGTACCACTTACTGACAAAACTAACAATCAGTCACAGCGAACAAAACTACTCCTACATGTTCATTTACTGTTAACATGCCCTTTTCATACTGAGAGTGCAGAGAAAAATGTATCCAATTATATTGTTATAATATTTCAAATTTCGAGCTTTGTGTTGAAGGATATTTCTACGTGTTTTGTAATCAACGGATAATAATATTGCCATATCTCATGTATTCACACACCATATCTGTCATATTTCTTGTACTCCACACACCATATCTGTCCTATCGCTTGTATTCCACACATCATATCTGTCATACCTCTTGTATTCCACGCATCATATCTGTCCTATCTCTTGTACTCCACACATCATATCTGTCCTACCTCTTGTATTCCACACACCATATCTGTCATATCTCTTGTATTCCACGCATCATATCTGTCCTATCTCTTGTACTCCACACACCATATCTGTCATATCTCTTGTATTCCACACATCATATCTGTCATACCTCTTGTATTCCACACATCATATCTGTCATATTTCTTGTACTCCACACACCATATCTGTCATATCTCTTGTACTCTACACATCATATCTGCCCTACCTCTTGTATTCCTTACATCATATCTGTCCTATCTCTTGTACTCCACACACCATATCTGTCATATTTCTTGTATTCCACATATCATATCCGTCATACCTCTTGTACTCCACACATCATATTTGTCATATCTCTTGTACTCCACACATCATATCTGCCCTAGCTCTTGTACTCCACACATCATATTTGTCATATCTCTTGTACACCACAGATCATATCTGTCCTACCTCTTGTACTCCACACATCATATTTGTCATATCTCTTGTACACCACACATCATAGCTGTCCTACCTCTTGTACTCCACACATCATATTTGTCATATCTCTTGTACACCACACATCATACCTCTTGTACTCCACACACCATATCTGTCATATCTCTTGTATTCCACGCATTATATCTGTCCTATCTCTTGTACTCCACACACCATATCTGTCCTATCTCTTGTATTCCACACACCATATTTGTCCTATCTCTTGTACTCCACACACCATATCTGTCATATCTCTTGTATTCCACGCATTATATCTGTCCTATCTCTTGTACTCCACACATCATGTCTGTCCTACCTCTTGTACTCCACACATCATATTTGTCATATCTCTTGTATTCCACGCATTATATCTGTCCTACCTCTTGTACTCCACACATCATATTTGTCATATCTCTTGTACTCCACACATCATATCTGTCATATCTCTTGTACTCCACACATCATATCTGTCATACCTCTTGTATTCCATACATCATATCTGTCCTACCTCTTGTACTCGACACATCATATTTGTCATATCTCTTGTATTCCACGCATTATATCTGTCCTATCTCTTGTACTCCACACACCATATCTGTCATATCTCTTGTATTCCACACATCATATCTGTCCTATCTCTTGTACTCCACACACCATATCTGTCATACCTCTTGTATTCCATACATCATATCTGTCATATCTCTTGTACTCGACACACCATATCTGTCCTATCTCTTGTATTCCACACATCATATCCGTCATACCTCTTGTACTCCACACATCATATTTGTCATATCTCTTGTACTCCACACATCATGTCTGTCCTACCTCTTGTACTCAACACATCATATCTGTCATACCTCTTGTATTCCACACACCGTATCTGTCATATCTCTTGTATTCCACGCAACATATCTGTCCTATCTCTTGTACTCCACACACCATATCTGTCATACCTCTTGTATTCTACACATCATATCTGTCCTATCTCTTGTATTCCACACATCATATTTGTCCTATCTCTTGTACTCCACACACCATATCTGTCACATCTCTTGTATTCCATACATCATATCTGTCCTATCTCTTGTACACCACACATCATATTTGTCCTATCTCTTGTACTCCACACATCATATCTGCCCTACCTCTTGTACACCACACATCATATCTGTCCTACTTCTTGTATTCCATACATCATATCTGTTCTATCTCTTGTACTCTACACATCATATCTGTCATATCTCTTGTACACCACACATCATATTTGTCCTATCTCTTGTACTCCACACATCATATCTGTCCTATCTCTTGTACTCTACACATCATATCTGTCATATCTCTTGTACTCCACTCATCATATCTGATTTGGGTCACGGGGATTGCTACTCCTGTCATCCACTCCATCCACAATGAAGACAACAACTACTACCACTACCACTACTACTACTACTACTACTGCTGCTACTACTACCAGTACTACTGCCACAGAACGGACTTCTATCATTACTAATGCTTCTACTACAAACGTTCAATGTACCTATATATTAATGGTAACTGATCCATGAAGGTCTCTGTAGCATGCACAGAACAAACAACTGTGGATATTATTTATTTAAGCATTATACTCGTGATGTTTATTTACAGAGGAAGATTTGCCAGGGGCTTCAGTTGATGCTGTCAGTCAGCCCAGTCATCATTTGTTGTTCCAGTACTTAGCGGCATTGATCCACAGTGGTGAGACTCTTTATTGCAACCAGGAATTATTATTGAGTTGAATTTTTTGGTCTCTCATAATCAGTGTAGGGTTGTTAAAACTGGTAAAACATGTCAAGTGCGCATGGCTACCCTAGTTGCTGCATTCTGGCTCCTTAGCAATGTCGAAGACGAGAGAGTAACTATAGTCAATTAAAGCAAAAATACCCTTTTCATAATAATAAGTAATAAGCATGAACGTGTTCTTATGAATAACAACCAAATAGTGATGATACCAGGTCTTCGCGAAAAGAATAGCACATACAGCCCCACCGGTGGCACCCGTCACAAACACACGCAAAAACAAGTCAACTGTTCAGTTGAAAAAAATACGGGAACATTTGGCATAAGTCAAAATAGGGGATTGCATCGGACATCATTTTTGACACTGATATATGCGTCAAATTTGTCTTCCATATGTCTACGATAAAAAACGTTTTGAAAGCTTTGCTGAGACTGTGATTGTATTGGAGGCTCGATTGTACCCCAAATGTATAAACCAAAGGCTGGAGCCGCCGCAATCTTGCTTAACATAAAGTGAAGTTTGGTCTTTAATCTTGCTCGACCTAAAGTGAAGGTTGGTCTTTAATCTTGCTTGACATAAAGTGAAGGTTGGTCTTTAATCTTGCTCGACATAAAGTGAAGGTTGGTCTTTAATCTTGTTCGACATAAAGTGAAGGTTGGTCTTTAATCTTGCTCGACATAAAGTGAAGGTTGATTTAATCTTGCTCGACATAAAGTGAAGGTTGGTCTTTAATCTTGCTTGACATAAAGTGAAGGTTGGTCTTTAATCTTGCTCGACATAAAGTGAAGGTTGGTCTTTAATCTTGCTCGACATAAAGTGAAGGTTGGTCTTTAATCTTGCTTGACATAAAGTGAAGGTTGGTCTTTAATCTTGCTTGACATAAAGTGAAGGTTGGTCTTTAATCTTGCTTGACATAAAGTGAAGGTTGGTCTTTAATCTTGCTCGACATAAAGTGAAGATTGGTCTTAAATCTTGCTCGACATAAAGTGAAGGTTGGGTCTTTGAATGACTGAGACCTGCATTTTGGGCTTTCCTCCCACATTAAGCTGACACGCCGTGATATAACTGGAATACTGATAAAAGCGGTGTCAAACCCAACTCCCCCCCTCTCCATCTCTCAAACACACACACACACACACACACACACACACACACACACACACACACACACACACACACACACACACATCTCATCTCATTAAACAATGTTAATATCATCCATAGCACTACAAAATGTACAGATTAATAATATTAAATAAGTGTTCTTCTCATATCAATATTTAACAACCATCATATTAATAATTACCACTAAGTTTTGGTCCACAGTATGCTTGTGGTACATCTGCCAGTGCAGGTCTTAACGACGCACCTGCAGTGGGTGCAGGTCTGTCTTCTCGATAATAGCCGTGTTCCATTATAGCTGTGGGTATTGCCCTGATTAACCTTCTACTCCACTGTCTAACAACTGGCTGTCTAGCAAATGAGAGATAACCGAATGAAACATGTCGTCTTTATAAATAAGATGTTGATGTCTAGAATGTTTCGTGAATGGTGATCCTCTTGTCATACAGACTTGTGAACAGTGTTCTGTCACTTTGAATATCTATGCCTATTTTTTGCCTAACTGTCCTGTCCGCAATGGTCACAATTGTCTATGACCGCCTCCATGGTCTCGTGGTAGAGCGTCTGCAAAGGGAGCGGAGAGTCCGGGGTTCCACCCCCGGTCGCGTCACACCAAAAGACGTTAAAAGATGGTACTTGTTGTTACCCTGTCTGGCGCACGGCATTAAGGGGCTAAAACAAGGACTGGTCGGCTCGGAGTCAGTATACTGTGTCTGAGTGGGGTATTCATGTTCAACTGCGGCATGGTATCTCAGTGAGCTAGCACTATAAATCGGCATCAGTCCGGACTAGTACAAGCAGCCACACACACAGATGCGCGTGTGCAATAATCTTGGACGCAACGTTAAACCCCATTTCACCCAACCCTACCTCACAGTTGTCTTTGAGGTAGACGACCATTTTACATAATATTTTCTCAGTAAATGGGATTTGCTTTCATTTTTGACAAATTGTCCCGAGCCTTTGAAGATAAAGATGTAGCTGGTAAGTGTAGTGACAAATGCCCCGTAGATAAGGAATAACGTTTTTCCTTACTTTTGACCTATGGGATTGTGTTGTACAAATTATGTATTGATAGTAGTGTATCAAGTGTTTCGTCAGGTATTCAATTTTCTTTTCAACAACAGTCAAGGCAATATATCTCAACTAGTCAAGTCAGTATACAGATCAGCCATTGTCAAGTCAGGATAGGTGAACTATAGTCATGTCAGGATAGCTCACTTTTAGTCATATCAGGATAGCTCAACTATAGTCAAGTCAGGATAGCTCAACTATAGTCAAGTCAGGATAGCTCAACTATAGTCATGTCAGGATAGGTCAACTATAGTCATGTCAGGATAGCTCAACTATAGTCAAGTCAGTATATAGTTCAACTATAGTCAAGTCAGGATAGCTCAACTATAGTCATGTCAGGATAGGTCAACTATAGTCAAGTCAGGATAGCTCAACTATAGTCATTTCAGGATAGCTCAACTATAGTCATGTCAGGATAGCTCAACTATAGTCAAGTCAGGATAGCTCAACTATAGTCATGTCGAGATAGTTCAACTATAGTCATGTCAGGATAGCTCAACTATAGTCATGTCGAGATAGTTCAACTATAGTCATGTCAGGATAGCTCAACTATAGTCATGTCAGGATAGCTCAACTATAGCCAAGTCAGTATATAGATCAACCATTGTCAAGTCAGGATAGGTGAACTATAGTCATGTCAGGATAGCTCAACTATAGTCAAGTCAGTGTACAGATCAGCCATTGTCAAGTCAGGATAGGTGAACTATAGTCATGTCAGGATAGCTCACTTTTAGTCATATCAGGATAGCTCAACTATAGTCAAGTCAGGATAGTTCAACTATAGTCATGTCAGGATAGCTCAACTATAGTCATATCAGGATATCTCAACTATAGTCATATCAGGATAGCTCAACTATAGTCATGTTAGGATAGCTCACTTTTAGTCATATCAGGATAGCTCAACTATAGGCATGTCAGGATAGCTCAACTATAGTCATGTCAGGATATCTCAACTATAGTCATGTCGAGATAGTTCAACTATAGTCATGTCAGGATAGCTCAACTATAGTCATGTCAGGATAGCTCAACTATAGTCAGGTCAGTATATAGATCAACCATTGTCATGGCAGGATAGCTCAACTATAGTCATGTCAGGATATCTCAACTATAGTCATGTCGAGATAGTTCAACTATAGTGATGTCAGGATAGCTCAACTATAGTCATGTCAGGATAGCTCAACTATAGTCAGGTCAGTATATAGATCAACCATTGTCATGGCAGGATAGCTCAACTATAGTCATGTCAGGATATCTCAACTATAGTCATGTCGAGATAGTTCAACTATAGTCATGTCAGGATAGCTCAACTATAGTCAACTCAGTATGTCACAAACATTGCCAAGTCGGGATATCTCAACCCTACATGCATCATACAAACTAAAATTTAAAAATAATTTTACAACGGACTACATAATCAGCCCTGGAAGCCGCCGGGGGGGTTCTGATTACTAACCATTTCAGACCATTATTTTCTTCTCGCCAAATAGGTTAAATTACCCCGGTGTGACTCCAGAAAAAGTCTCTATTTCCCTTGTTTGCAAAAGCCGACTACAATGTAGTGACCGTGTGTGACCTGGCTGATTTTGTGTCACTGTACCTGACGGAGTCGATTGTTGCTCTAGCTGTCAACCACGAAGCTGCCTAGCCCGACGTGTTATTTACAGGCCGCAGTGATATAACTTGAACATTGTGACTGCGGCAGAAAACAACAACCACTCCTGTACCTCGCCGACAGTTAAAAATGAAAAACACAATATCCTGTATTCTGTCAATAAACTTGAAAAAACCGATTTATTTCTATACTGCTGCATTGTTATGCGCGACAAAAGCAATTCATCTATTCACGGAGCAATACATTATGCATAGTTACTTTGACCTACGCCACAAATGTGTTTACAATCCAACCATTCACGAGTCACTGCCGTCGACATTCTTCAAACAACACAATCGTTAGCTGTTTATCCTCATCACCTATGAAATCAATAACCCATTTTCCACGCTTAGTGCCCCTTTCAGGCTGATCTGCCGGTGTGTTGACGGTGTTGCTATTGACGACAGACATAGCGTTATCTACCGTAGTCTGGTCTCCTGTAACGGGACTGGTACACGAAACCACGCCGCTAAGTTGACATATCGGCGAGAGAGAAAGAGGGAGAGAACGTGAATGGGTTGAAAGGGCCCCAGATCGGACATACTTTGGAGAGAAGTGATCACACGAACTCTCATAGCCACACGCCTCAAAATACAACTTCTTACCTGGTGAAGACTATCAAGAACTACTTACAGGTAAGTATGATATATGTCATACATATTAAACACAGTATGTGACATTTGTCAACACTATTGTGGAGTAAGTCTAACACTAATTACATACTGAGATTCTCCTAACAAACTTAATGCAACGAGTGTCTCAACGCTGTGGGACAACTGTCAACACTTTTGTGCAGTAAGTCTATCACTAATTACATATTACATAAATAGTTTCTCCTAACTAACTTAATGCAAGGAGTGTCTTAATGTTATTGATATTTATGCAGCAGTTGAATCTTCTATAAAGTAAAAATAAAACGCAGCATGTGTGTGGGCCACGATAGCATATATTGATTCCAATCGATCGGGGCTGGTTGATGAGAGATAAGGGCCCTAGTGGAGAATGGCTAACACAATCCAGCCGTGGTTGATAGATTATAATGTGTGTAGAAGGGAAATCCTACCTTGAGTAAATATTTAACATATGAAGTATGCAATGGATGTGATAGAATTATGCGAGTCAGAGCAAATCTTGAAAAAATCAATTCTGCCAATAGCCTTGAGAATGATGTTATTGTTTTCTTCCAAAATCTGACTATTTTATATAAACCACGAGACTTAAATGACATGTGTACGGAATTATTTCGCTTGGTCTACCCTGACAACGAACACTGCATATAAATACCTGTAAACCTTGGGATTAATGAACCATGTCGACCACCCCTGTATATAACATGTTGGAACTCAGTGCATACACGTAGTCAATGTTTGTATTTTGTAACAAGCTTCAAATACTGTATACACCTTATATCTGAAAAGTACCACGAAAAAGCAATATTATGTACATGTTGGCCATTGTTCATATTTTCAGGCCTATCACTGCGCTGTGTTTTCACCAAGCGGACCCATTCAATATCCGACGGGCTGACGTATTGTGGCCAACAACAGATCCCAAAGTTACCGGGCCATTGATCAGACAGGTGTGTCGGTACACGTCGACATTTACACTACCATGTTACAAAGGCCGTGCACGGTGGGACAGTGACTTGCCGGCAAGACAGGATCTGTTATTGTTATAATGTAGTGTCAAGGAAAGCACTAGATGGCATTAATAGGAGACGAGCCAGCTCCTGTGACACAAACACATACATCAAAACACTGCAAATACGCACAGTTATAACGCAGAGTTTTTTACTCCACGAGGACAGAGAACCAAAGACTATTTATGTATCCTCCCAATGAGACAATGAGCGTTTATTTGCCGGAATAATGATAACATACACGCCATAAAGAGCCTGGAATTCTACTAGGCCGATATCTAAATCCTTAGACACACTTAGGTTAGAGGGCTAGTGCCAATTTTAATCTCTGCCTTAGTGTATTTATTATGTATGCAATTCCTTGTATATAACAAGGCAATATATTTGAAATCTTGTGTAAAAAATTCATTTCGAAAATGCCAGGGAACAACGTTGCTCGCGAGTCCTTGATGTCCAAGTTCAAGGCCCATTACAAAAAGAACAATCATCCTTTGACGCCGGAGTTTGTTATTGCGCACGCTGTGCCTATGTTCTTCTTCACTATCTTGGGCACGTGGGTGATTGGCATCGCCGACGTCCTCCCCACCATCTACAAGGACAAGGGACCGACCACGGTGCTGTTACAGAGGCTGTTCGTATCCTTCCTCTTCGCCGAGATGATGATGAACTGGTTGTGTATCCGATACGTGGATTCGTCCTACACCCAATATAAGAAGTCGGGTCAAGGTCAATGGGTCGATGTCGAAGGTGAAGGAGATTGTAAAAGGAAGACTTCCGTTGAGGACGATGAAAACGGAAGTCGGATACCGCATACCACTGGACTGCGTGAACGATTCATTAAACCGTCTTCTATGGATTTTTCTGGCTCAGCGAGCAAGGATAAAACTGGAGTTAAAAGTTTAAAATACCCCTACTGGTCGTGGTCCCCATGTTTTCAATGTGACGTCATGCGACCCCCGCGATGCCACCATTGCGCGCTGTGTAAAACGTGCATTCTCAAGCGGGACCACCACTGCTACTTTGCGGGCACCTGTGTGGGCTGGCGGAATCTCCGTCACTTCGTGATATTCTGTCTGTGGGCGGCGCTTGCATGCTCATACGCCCTGGTTCATGCCTTGTACTATATCTACCACTATCTCTGGTCCAAGATTTCATTTCTGGACTTTATACCACCTATTACCGTTCTGCGGACGTTGCTAGGTTACGTGTCTCCAATAATTGTTATATATATGTCCGTGACTTGCTTTTTGTTCTATTTTGCATTTTTGTCAGTATCGTTCTTTCTTGGACATTCACTGATGATAAAGAATGGAATGACTTCATTTGAACATGACAACCTCAACAGAAAAAAGATCGAGATCCATGACAGCCGCCCCCTCTCTGGAAGGCTACGGTCAGTGTTTGGACCTAACTGGGGCTTGAGTGTATTTTTACCATTACACAATGTATACCCCCCGACAGAGGACCCACTAATGTGGCCCACGATCAAGGTACAACGCCAAACGTCGGAATAAAACATTTAGAAAAGCAGTCACTCCAAATGGTTGGATGTTTGACATGGACGTTCAGAGGCATGTTACCTCAGACGCTCGCTGCTGAAACAGGCTTGATACCGACCCTTAGAAGCAGGTGAGGCCGTGGACCACGTGTTCCCACCCAATTATTTTTTTATCAAAACATTTTCACAAGGAGAATTGTCCTGAACCCCTCTACCCATTGGCCAACATTTACATACATACAGAGTATGTGATGCGAAACTGAATTTAGAAACAATATAATTTTATATACATATGTTTAGAATTAATAATATGCTTTTAAATTTTGTCTTTGGACTAGTACCTATTCTCGTGGAAGGCATACATGATAGATGGCAAAAACCGTTTACCATGGATGGGCTCCTATTTATTATATTTTATAACTGTAATTTAGCAACTGTTTTCTTCTGTCAATTAAACTATGTTCATTTCAGCGACTAGATGTTAGTCTCGCCTGAAATGTAATGCACGACCTGTGATTTGTCGGTCGAACTGGTCGAATCATTTTGATTATTTGTTTTTACTTTGTCCCATTTCGTGACTATTTGTGAATATGTGAATATTGTTCTTTGTATTCATTTATGAATACTGTATACTGCGCTGCCAAAGCTTTTTATAGAACATATCGATATTTTCAAAGGGTATGTATTCCAACTGTGCCTCCAAAGTTGTTACAATTGTCATAATGTACATGGAATACGCATGCCGCATGCAGACGGATGATGTTGTCCAAGGGCTGGTGTGTCCTGTATAGCTTCAATCTCTATACCAAAGTAAAAACAATGTTTGAGTTTGTCATTGTTTGTTATGTGTGTATACAAATGGAGTCAGTGTAAATATGCCTCGACTGGCATGTGTTTACTGACAACTAAATGAGTTTAGTAGTATTTCAGTTGTGTCTTGGCCTGTCAGATTAATGTGGGAGTTTCGACGTTTACTACTTTGGTGAAACCCACGTGGTGCTGACAAACAAAGAATCAATAATTCGAGCGAATCCAGGATTCAAAGATTCTAGCATGTCTAAGGGACGCAACTCTGTACATGCATACACTTACTCATCCGAGTATATTTACTGAGAATATGTAGGCCCATTATTTGGCCTTCAGCAACCCATGCTTGCCGTAAAAGGTGACTATGCTTGTCGTAAAAGGCGACTAACGGGATCGGGTGGTCAGGCTCGCTGACTTGGTTGATGCATGTCATCGATCCCAATTGCGTGGATCGATGCTCATGATGTCAATCACTGGATTCTCTGGTCCAGACTCGATTATTTACAGACCGCCGTCATATAGCTGGAATATTGCTGAGTGCGGCGTTAAACAACAAACAAACAAACATAAACCCATGATGTTCTTAAGCTGGAGTATGCTACCAAAATCGAAAATCTTGAAACCCCATTGCACATGATAAAATACTTCCTCCAGACACTCGCATGTTCCCTCATACCTGTTTACCTGTCTGTGTCTGTACATATACGTCATATAGGTAAAATATGTCTCCAGTAACCTATGCTTGTAACCAGTAATCCAGTAACTCTGTTGGTTCGGGTGCTCATGCTCTCAGTCACTAGTATTGCTCATGCGGCGTAAAGCAACGTTCACTCATTCCTCCCCTTCGAAGTTGTCTGTTCACGATTGCTGGTGTAATTGATGTTTATAACACTTTGACTTTAATATATACAATTAAATCTGAAATTTAAAATTAAATTAATAGTTAGTTAAATTATCAAATGTTTAAAATGTTCATAGAAACGAACAAGTATCTTTTTAGACACCGAAACTTTTACTTTCATATATACAGCCAAATTGTAATTTACTTCAATTGAATTTCTTAGCAAAAGCTAAAAATAAATTAAATTTCTTTAATGTTTATTAACATGAGACTTATTATGCACAGATATTTTTTAGACATAGAAACATCAGACATTTAACGTCACACGTAGGGTCTCAGGGTAAATCTAAACAGACTCCCTTCTGGGAATGACGTGTTGTACTGTGTTGAAAGTACTGCACTAACATCGAATATCATGACTTTTTAAAAAATCTGTGTGTGTTTTTTAATGGCATCTTACATGAACGCATCATGGCGCTGCGCACGTGCGTCGACGTGTGTGTATACCTGTAAACACGGAGAAGCAAGGTTTGTAGAGAATAAACAGAGCAACCTTGAATGCCTGTATCCTAGATACTGCCACAAAATCGATCGTTTAGAACTTGATGGTTGCCACATCGTCATCCATAAGAGACAAATGCAAAGAAAAACAGGAAAAACGCGAGACAATGTGTTGATCATTAGGAACGTAAGGTTAAATGTGCATCTGCATCGACGCATGAGGAACGTGACGTAGCTACGACGTCGAAGAACAAATGTTGCACCTGCTACCTCCGTTATTTGAAGAAGGTGTAGGCAAACAACCAACCTCCTATTGCTTGACGTCGACTGACATGTCCACAACACTTTGACAATAATTGTCTTTACTGCCCTTTTTTGTACACAACAGGTTTCTCCACCTATCTACTCTAACATTGCCTCCTACCTGTATATATACTTGTCAACCACACTCTGTATATCACTTGCTTGATAACGGTGTAAGAACCTACACCAAAACGTCGCTCTTAATTGAAATTCGGAGTTGTTCATCCATAAATCCCATCCTTGCTTAACACTAACAGAACCAACACTTATATATTCCAGGTGGTAATATGTGTTTAATGGGTGAGGGGTTGCCTGCTGAAGAAAATAATTAAGAAATAGAAATACGCTGTCTGAATTTACGATCCCGAATTTACTATGATCATACAACATCATCTAAAATAAGTATTCTCAGAATCCCTACAATCCGGATTTACTCTGTATTCCGTAATTCTTCAATTAAATTCGATTTCTTGCACCAAAATATGTTTTTCCCTTAAACTTGAAACACACCATTTTAGCCAATTTCTATCGTGTTTCCTGCCAACATGTATTGCCACAGATAATTGACACAGTGTAGGCACCGCAGCTCTGTATTTTGTAACATTTTCTAACATTTTGTAATCATTGGACGTACCGTTATTTCAGCATGCGATAATTTGTTAGAAAGAAGCACTTTTCTGCGAATGACGGTTATCATAAGTTGTAGCAGGATCACGAGTGGTACATGGGGTTTTATGCTTCCGCTTTAGGTTTTATACCAGGAGCCGGGGGTGGAGGCGAGTAGTATAACACCTAACAAGGGACGCATAAAACCCCATGTTCCCCGAGTCGTCCTGCTACAACGAAATTATCTTACTGACATGATTTAATATGACATTGTAATAGAATTCAAACAATTTCAAAATTGATAGAAAACAGCTGTTCGATTGAGTTGAGTAAGCTTGCTATGTAACGTGACCTCAATTGACTCGGAAAAAGCTTTTTGCTTTGAAGCGGGGTATAAGGGATTTATTCTGCCTCTCAGAAATCCACGTGCATCCTGACGTGCTCGTGGCGGGGTAAAAGAGATTTATTCCCCCGCTGATAAATTTATTCCTCTCTAAGGCGGGATACACTGTATTTTATCAAGATCACGTGAACAAATCAGATCTCATCATTTGGACATGGGGTTATGATAATGTGATTTAATACCTCTGATTGACCAATCAGAATCGAGTGTTTTCCTAAATTTATGGGAGAACGTCTAATTCTAATTTGTCAATCAGTGGCTTCAAATCACGACCACAACCACAAACACAGACGTTTAAACGGATGTGTTTTGATGGCGAACACTGGTGATCTAATCACCCTATGAAACATATCATGGGTTTAATCCCACATTTTCCCTGCTTATGTTTCTAGGTTTGTCAACACGCTGTGATATAACTGAAATGCTCCTCAAAGTGGATTTAAACCCAACTCATCCACGCACTCATTTAAATAACGATACAAACATCTTCCTTGATATATACTCTTCAAAAAAAGAAACGCAAAGCCAGATTTGTGTGAGGTAGGAAAATACATTTATACGAGGAACCGTACATGGTATTGAGCCAAAATGGCGTGGAGAGAACACTTGGTGATTGTAGTCATCTTAGCTCTTGTGATCCATGCTGTCTGTATGCGGTCGAGCGTTGTCCTACTGGAATACACCGTTGCCGTTGGCCGAATTGGGAGGGCGTGTGGTAGGAGAATTTCGTTGATGTATGGTTGAGCCGTAAGATTGCCGTGGATATGGACCAAACCTGTCCTGCCATGATGAAAGATAGCCGCCCACATCATAACGCTTCCCTCACCAAACCTGCCCACTTCCCGAACGCAGTTTCCCCGACGTTTGTAGACCCGTGCTCTTCCATCCCCTCGACGGAGAAGAAATCTTTATTCGTCGCTGAACCAGATATCTCTCCATCGCAGCTGAGGCTTTACCCTGTGTTGACGACACCAATGCAGTCGTTGTTGACGATTTTGTCGACTTTTGTGGACAATATGACGCGTCGAACAGGACGTTTTGCTCGTAGACCTGTTCTTAAACGGTTTCGTACGGCCTGGACGGAGATTCTGCGCAGTCCGGGTATTTGGGATGCGGTTGAGATGGTTGTGGTCGTCCTTTCACGTATGTGGCGCAGTCGGATGTAGCATTCTTGGACGAGGGTGCTTATTCTTGGTCGTCGCGACCTTGGCCTATCACGTGTTGACCCATGCCGTTGAAACCGATCCCATAGCTTTGTGATGGTGCTGGGCGCTACATTGAACACCCTGGCTACAGCTGATCGGGATTCCCCTGCCTGCAAGCGGCCTATGACGTTGTTTCTTTGCACTTTTGTTAATTTTGGCATGTTGTTGAACTGTCACTGTTCGATTGACGTAGATACCAGGCAATCAAAAACCTTGCACTTTAATACCGTTCATAGTGATGCTGCACGACCCTTTTGTTAATACACTGGGTGCGGTTTTTTTCCGAATCGTACGTGTTTCCCGACTTATGGTTTGTATGTCCTTGTTGTGATGATTTTGATCCGGGAAATTTATCACTGACACTATAACACATTAAACCTCTTCATTTTGCACCTCTTGGTCCGCTAACTTTGCTTTTATGCCTAAAATTATCCCTATTGCGTTTCTTGTTTTTGAAGAATATATCACTTTCGTACAGAGTATTATGATCTTCACCAAAGTAAAACTCGAATAACAAAAATTCTAAATACTGCTAACAAAATTATGTTTAAAATCATGTCTTATTCCCTGCATATGAATATGTTTACCCCCTGGACACCGACTGCGTCTACCCGACAAGAACAAGGTTCCGCCAGTCTTCTATTCCACTTAGTATTAATGTTATCGACCCAATCTTCAGCGTGAAAATAACGAACTCAAGCACAATTTCAGCACCAGCAACGATATCTGTGATGTTATGTTTTTATTAAGTTCGTATTCAGCATTTTATTGCTTACGAGTAGTATATGACGGAAGACAAATTACCCCTGTAATTATGAAGTACCGACTGAACTTGTTCCGTTCAGAAATCTATTTAGCGCAAATCCAATCTATAGTCCACGGAGCATTGCATTGAAAACACGAGTTTATTTCCCTACCCACAATTTCATTTGCGTGTACTGAACGTGCAGCCTATTTCACCTCCCATAGGCACAAGGCTGCGTCGTTGGCAATATAACAATTTAATGTACGGAAATAGAATAGGTTTGAAAGTTTCATTCAGGTACACGTATATATTGAAGCGTCAGTAAAAGATACCCCAACCACAAACTTGATTTGAGTTTCGGTCTCTCTGGAATAAGATACACTGGCTTATCGAGTTCCTTGAATAGCATTATCGTGTAT